GGAACTGAGGGATTTGCCTCTGTTGTTGCATTCTGCAGCCCTCACCTGACTCAACTGCCACGTTAAGGGATTGGTTATTGACCTTTAAGTCTTTAACAATTATTTACATACTTAGGAAAGAGTCTGTGCATTCAGGTACGAGAATAAAGACAGTGAATAAATTCAGCCCTCGTTTTCATTTTTATGCTACGTTCAGTGAGCTGTTACTGCAGACAAATTATTGCAATATTCTTTCAAATGATAGCCAATTTTCAACTTGGAGAAGATTCTTAAACCCCTTTCTAAAACCTTTTCCTGCATATTGGTGAAAACCAGGCAGTTGGAAAACACTGCCCTGGTTAAGCCACCTAATGATAAATTAATATTTTAAACACATGGAATTATTTAAGAATCTGCATAATGATTTAAACTCTCATAAGAAAAAGCAGCAAAGGCCTCAAAAACCTAACACTTCATATATATTCCTAGAAGTTTTATTTCAATTTATATGTATGCATTTCTCATAGAGTATTTTCAGAATTTCTGAAACTCAGATACATTAAGAGTCCAGGGAGGTGACCAGAGTAATTCTTAGTTTTGTTATTTACCTGGGAAACTGATCAATATTGTCAAAATGTATGTGAAAGTCTTTCTATTTGACCATAAGTTCAGCAATAACATGGACCACATCTGTCTTGTTCTATATTAAATCTCCATCTTCCAGAACACTATCTGGCACAGATACTCAATAAAATTTATTTAGTAAAGGAATATTATAAGTTTTCGTTGCCACTAAAAGTGAAAACTGACTCTTAAGCAAAGGTTAGTTTTGGGTTTTGTTCTTGGTTTTCATTCATTCTATTAATTTATACTCCATGCTTTCACAAAACAGTAAGTTATCTCTCTACTGAAGCCTACCCTTCTATGGCCTGAGACATATACACACAACACAACATGCCCTTGCCACACCTATTCAATGCTGTCATATTTACCATGCATCAGAAAAATAAATTTACCAAGTAGCACAAGCTCTGGAAAATCATTAGGTGACATCTGAGGAGCAGAATACCAATCAGCCAATAATTAGCATCTGAAAATTCATAGAGGCACAGAAAAATCAAATTCCATGAAATCTCAGGGAGCATGACCCTGGCTGGGTTCGTGCCCAGGCAGTCGGGAGGCAGTAAATTATACCACCCAGACAGGACTGGAAAGTGCCATGGCTAGTCTAATCCCAGGGGGAGACATTCTGACAATGTGGCATTTGCACAGGGATGCCCTAACATGGCTCCAGTATGTTTTCTCAGAATGGGATGACATTTTAAGTCAAACAGCTCTGTTCCCAATAGTACAGGTCCTCCCCAAACTCTAATAACCTGAATTTGAGAAAAAGAGGTTCATCTTAGGGAGAAACTGAGGTTTTACAGATGCAGTATTAAAACAATCCATTTATAAGGAAGGCAAAACCAGATATTTAATCTGTTTAACCTCATTCTTTATCTTTCCATCATTACGTAGACCTCCGACAGCCTTAGACTTAAAAAACCATTCTCATTTGGGCAAAATTCTGTTCCTGAAGCATCTACACTGGATACTTTTCAATGAATGCTGAAACGCATTATAAAGTTGTGCTACCAAGAGGCATCAAGAGTGACTGTCAGTGCCTCACCAAACCCCTGCTGACTGAAACATACGAGTCAGTCCAAGGACGCCAGGCCACCACTGTTACTGCTGCCTTCAGCCTAACTAAGGTCACCTTTCCTACATGCCTGTCTAATTCTAAAGGAAGAAAACTAAGAGGCTGGAGAATACCAGCTCCCCACGTGGTTTCTGCAGCTGCCAACGCTACCTACATGTGTCTTGGAGAACGCACCCTTAAGAAGAGTCCAGGATGTGGCAGTCCAACATCCAACCAGACTGACCCAGCCCTGGAAGTAAACGCTCCACCTCCACCAGGTGGCCTGTGTGCACCTGATTTGAATGTGCTCCTATCTTGAACCAAGGGTGACGGCTCTGCCAGGCCCCCACTCCACTGCAGGGTCAGGCAGCAGCCTCTGCTCCTGGAACCTGGCCCAGAGTTCGGATGGCCCGGCAACGTCACTGCGAAGAGGGAGTCTGGTTGTGCCCTCCTCTGAACTCTCCATCTGGAAGACTCTCTGGCCTCCTTCCCTCTCATTTTTAATCTGACAGACACTGCTGGACAGGGAAACTCAGAGCAGACCAAAGTTCATCTTCCCTTCCTCGCTTCTCAGCTGGCATAATCGCAGGGGCAGAACGAGGTTGGCATGGACCAGGATGCCAGGAATTAAATGAGGGTCCCTGACCACTGGAACACATTAGTCCTGCCTTCCAAAGTCTTAATTAGTCTTCCTCTGCCTGGCACACCTATCACGAGGGAGGTGTCCGGGTAAGGTGCCATTCTCACAGCAAGTATTCAACAAAATATTGGTTGAGAATGGCAATCACAAATGCCTGCTGACCCATGGCTTTGCAACAACAATCAGCTCTGAGGTCTGGGCACCAGCGGCAAGATTCTGCTCCCTGTACTAATGCAGACAGTTCTAGCAGTGTTATTCTGAGTGATACTCAGCCACCAGCTCCATTTGGAAGCAAAATGATCTTAACAAACAGTGGCAGGCTTGATAGACAGGCTGCTGAGCCTGAGGACCAAAACAAAGGACGAAAAGAAGGGTTGATGGCAAGACAAGGCGAGGAAAATGAATACTGCAAAGAAAAACAAGGAGGGTTACGGGACTAGCCACCTCAGTCCTGCAACTCTGAAATGAGCTGTGAATATGACAACAGGCTCAGTGGTGAAACAATGGAGGGAATCAAGGCAAGGGTACAGGGTAGCATCTGTCACGAATTTTGATGCTGGGACGGACTTAGGGCTAGCAGTGGAATAGATTCGATAGCAAGTAATATTCGAGAGGTTTCAAAAGACAATGGGTCTTAATTCTGTCCTGTTTTGCACCTCTTGAACTACAGTGACGTACCAAAATTTGTTATTTTTCTATGAGGACATTGACAGATACAATGGAAATTCTGAATACACTTTTTCCTTCTGCATTCATTATCTCTGGCCCTTATCCACAGGCCTATTGCAGACTAAATTGGATTTTGGATCACTGGTACTGTGGCGCTGCAATTAATTAACAATAGAAACATAATATTTATATCCAGGCCTAACAACATCTGACATTTAAACTATTCTGCCAGTCGGGCAAATTCCATTCGACAAATTTTCATTTTAATGAACATGACAGACCACAGTTTACATGATAGGCCAAGAAGCAGAACAGAGTTGATCTATTGGCATGTGTTTTCAAGGACTGACCACGCTCCAGAAGAAACAAGCTGAGAAAGTGTCAGCATAACAGAAAGACCAGATCCCCATTTCCACCCAGAGAGACCAAATACACACAACCGTCATGTCCCCAAACACAGATCCTAGTATGAAACTGTCCTCATTTCAAGCGCAAGCTCAAAGTTAAATACTTACTGCCCCTTATAATCCACTGGATAATTTTTCTATCTTTGGGTTGCTGACATTTTCTTTGGGGTACTAAAGTCCCCTAGCCCTTCCTAATTAAAAAGTGATAAACGTTTTTGCAAGGCATCCAATAATGTGCAACGTACACAAGAGTTGGAACTGATGCAGCTTTTTCAGTTGGCACAAAACTGGCCATCCATATTTTGCCAGATGGTGTATCTCAGTAAGTCCCCAATCCCTGACTTGAGTGAGGGGCATTGTCACTATGATACTGAAGCAGAGACTCTCTTTAAATGCCATCTTATTTTGCATTATACTAACACGGTGGGTCTAACATTTATTCTTGCTGACACTTTCACAACTAAAGAAGTTTTCATTCTTCTGTGACTCATTCAAGTCAACAGAATATGGTACAGATAAGGGGAAAAATTCTACCCCCTTAAGAACCATAGAAATTTGCTGGAAACCAATGTCAGAGAGCAGATCTCCCAGCCCGACTTCCTATTGCTACTCTATGGGTTAGTGGTCCAAAGGACACTGAGTGAAATAGTGTTCATTTACCCAGCCCATCTCTACTACCACAAAAACGTGGATGTAAAGGATAGAGATAAAGATGAAAAACGCAAAGAGAACAAAGCAGATAGAAGCTTAATAGATTTGGGAAATAAATAAGTTCAGTGAAAAACAACATATTGTAGCTGGGATCCCTAAGGGCCATATATTTCTAGTTCACATATTTATAACATTCCTTATTCTAGTTTTTATGTCAATTCAAAAGAACAGAAATAAAATTCCACTTTAAAAGTAATACTTTTTTAGAGTAGGGATTTGGTTCATGGGTTCCAATCTCAGCAACTGAAATGACTACCTACATGGTAATTTGTCTTCAAGCTGTGACTCTGACTAGACCCAAAATGGTAACCATGCTTCATGTTACTTTATTTTATTTTATTGACATGGAGTCTCGTTCTTGTCACTCTGGATGGAATGCAATGACGTGATCTTGGCTCAATCCGCCTCCCAGGTTCAAGCGATTCTCCTGCCTCAGCCTCCAGAGTAGCTGGGACTACCGGCATGTGTTACCACACTCGGCTAATTTTTGTATTTTTAGTAGAGATGGAGTTTCACCACGTTGGCCAGGCTGGTCTTGAACTCCTGACCTCATGATCCACCTGCCTCGGCCTCCCAAAGTTTTAGGATTACAGGTGTGAGCCACTGTGTCCGGCCCATGTTACTTTTAGATATGGCCATGATACCAGAACATTAAGCAGTGAAAGGATGACAGCATTTCCACCAGTGTAGCCTCATTTAGAATCAGTAAGCTGTCACTCAAGTCAACAGCATGTACATACATATACAGTGTGGATGGACACACACACATGCTTATATATACATACACACACACATTAATGATAATTATAGTCATGTTTGAGATATTTACATGCATTTTCCCATATATAACACTATGAGGTAAAACTACTATAAACTCTGTTACACACTGAGGAAAGGGCAGTTACAGTTCACTGACCTCCTTAAGAGGTAAAGTCCAAGGTCATAGGCATGTAAGTGGCAGAGTTTAAGTGCAAATCCAAGTCTGCCCTTCCTCCAGAACCTGTGCTCTACACAACTCAGTGGCATATGACGGCATCCGCAAGGGAAACAGCATGAAGGAATTGATTCCTTTTGGCAATAGTCAAAATATCTTTTAAATATCAGGTATAAAACATTTTCAGACCACCAGATGCTTATTCAATTTTGAAAAATCAATTTTTATGGAGTTGCTATGAGTAGTTTCATGTTTGTTAATGCCTGGTTATATTCTTGAAAAAGTAGGGGCCTCATAGAGGAGGGAAAAATGTATTTTTGAAAGCTGGGAAGAAAAATGAGACCCTAACTGGATTAAGCTGTAAATGTTTGACAGAACACAAATGAATAGAATCTGTAAGTTTAACATGCCTTTGCAGAAGGCATGTTCTAAAATAGTCATACCAAATTCAGAACACAATAGACTTAACATGCTTATTGTTGTAAACAAAGGCATTTGGTTAAATGAAAGTTCCATCAAAACTTAATAACCAAATTCAAGTGAACACAAAGTAAAGCGTTATATACTTTCTATGGTTTCAGTAATAGCTAATCTAATAATGGTACATGGAGGGTTATTGTTGATTCCTTAGCCTCTGTTTCATAAATTAGATAAAGCAATGTGGCAGTTAGAGTACTTTAGAGTTTTACTGGACTAAGTGATTTTAAAGCTGTCTCAAAATATAACAGTCATGACTTGAATGACTACTGAGTTGTAGCTTGTTTTCTATCACCACGTTAGTACTTTTCACCAGCGTTAAGTAAAAAGCTTCCTGTTAACTAAAACAATTCTATAAATACAATTTCTATCTACAGCACCAAACCATTTAAGGTGAAGTGTCATTGATACAGTATGATCTGATATTCTATTTCACCAGGGCCAAGCTTGTAAAATATTAACTATAAGAGCAGTCAAGTGTTATTTATTTCTTCGGATCTAAAACTCAGGAACAGTAGAATTTCTCTGCTTAATGATTTTTCTTAGCACATTTCCAATTTTCTACTACAGTTTATTGATCTGGAATACTAAAACAGTTTTCTTCCCTGTCTAAAGAACACAAAAGCCCTGTGCCCCAGACCCATGGGATATGCCTCCAAAGACAACAGTCATGGCATCTCATCAGGCGCTGAGGGGTGGTAATGAGAAGCAAGGCATTTTCCTTATTGAAAGAAGGTGCTAGTCAAATCTCAGGTCTTTTAATAAGACGGAAACACTTCCCAAGCCTTTGCATTTGGAGATGAGGCTCCATACCTGCAGTTCTGAGAGCAGATGAGTTGCCCTTCACGAAAGCAGTCTATTTTCCTGCATTTCCCCTTCATGCCCTGATATGGTTACTTTCAATTACCCTGATAGCCCAGGAAGAAAATATCCCTCTCTCCATATTTCATTCACATAAGAATCTGCAAGCTGTTCTGTATGACAGATGAGGACTGTGTGCTGAGGCAACTTGTTCCGCCTGTCAGCCTCCGAGAACCCACAGCAATGAGATACAATTGTGATGACATTACTCGAGAAGAAGTGGGTCAAATACACGGTCACTTTAAAACAGAATGTCAACCATTGTTTCTACTTCAGTAATTTGATGCAGTGGTACTGAAAACACAGAGAGAGACAGAGAGAGAGAGAAAAGGAAAGAGAAAAGAAAAAAGTTCACTGCTATTAGTGTAATGTCCATACATACACAAACGCAAATGCAAATAATTGTTAAAATTACTGTTCCCATATACCCTTAAGTGACTTTTTTCATCCTCCACCCAATTAGTCAAGAAATATTTAGTAAGCATGTGGTATGAGCCAGACACTGAAACAGGAACTAGAACTAGAATGCTGAAAACAGATACAGCCCCTGCCTTCTTAGAGTTTACAGTCTAGGATTAAGGACAAATATGAACGAGCAATTCGGAATAATGTAATGGAGCCTGAAAAAAAACTGAAGTAGAAGGTACTAAGAGAGCTCATAAGAACTAACCAAGTCTTTTGGGTCAGTAAAGGTTTCTGTAAGGAAAAGACATTTAAGCTAAAGCCAGAAGCATTAGAGCAGGCAGATAAGAGGTGAGAGGGAAGACTGACAAGTGGAGGACTATTCTCCTCAAAATGTTTCCTTTCCAAGGAACCATTAGGACAAAGGCCTCAGGACTCTGTAGAAAGTACAATGGAATAAACACTATCGAGTCCACCACTGGAAGGTATTATCTTTTCCTTATTTCAATCCCTAGTTTAGAAAATTAATTAAAAAAAATTTTTTTAAACATTAGTATACGTCTGTCCTATCTTGCCACATAAGGGAAAAAGTTAATCATAATCACATTTTCTTGCTGATCTAAATATTAAGGTAGATTTTGCTTTAAAAAATCTAATTTATCTTGACTGTACTGGTTAGAACCCATGAGTTATTTTTGAAAATATGTTTTGACAGCAGTGAAACTTGCAGCACATACAATACCAAGAGCATAAATTTGTTCAGGATATAAGTACATGATAATTAACACAAGCAGTTGGTAAGTGTGATTTATATAAAAAAAAAAAAAAAAGACTGTACCAACTACACGCCAAAATGGGTGGAAATAAAGAAGAAATGGATTCTTTTCTCTAATATTTGGTCATGAAAATTTGGATTTGCTCTTGCAGAAAATTGTTTTTGGATCATTATTCATCTTTCCTACAGCATAAAACTTTTTTTCTATGGGATCAACAAATTGGAATGGAGAGGAAAAACCAGATATATTCATAAGTATGTTTGCCCTTTCTGCTAAACCCCAGAGTGTGATGTTCGGATTATTTTCTTTCCAAACTCAAAATCCATTCCCAGAATCCAAAATCAATAAAAATTGTACTAGCAAAACTGAGGGTTGAATTTGGCCTAAAAACTCAATGACTGAATAGGGCTACTAATATGGGAAGAGGTTTTCCAAAAAGTGTCTTTAGTTATTATTAATCACCAGCAATGACTTTAGTAGCTGCTCTAAAGTAAACACAATCTACAGCTACGTTAAAGCAATATAGTGTACAAACCATGAGAATTAACATTCTACCCTGTGAAAGGTGGCAGAACATGCCACCCCAAATACACCACATTGGCATAAGAATTATTTTCGAGCTAAAGGGGCTTATAAAAAATAAAAAAACAGCAGGTGCAAAAAGGGACTTCTGACCCTCTTCTTTTTCTTCATAACAGCAAGAGCTAAAATCCCTGTATGGAAAATATTCTTACACCAGAAGGAAAGTAACATTCTTATCATCAAGGGTGGAACACTGAGACCAAGAGAATTCTGTACAAACCAAACGTACTAAACTAGTTCTTCTTTTCCTCATCACTTCTCCACCCAGTTAAGTACCCTGCCCAAGCCCCTTTGCCTTGTCATATCTCACAATTTACTAGTCTTTATCCAATTCCTTATATAAGTATTCAACTCTAACTGTATCTTTGGGTCTTCATTTCCTTATGAGAGCTCCCATGTCACAAAAAAAAACTTAAATAAATTTGTATGCTTTTCTCCTATTAGCCTGTCTTATGTCAACTTAATTTTTAACCCCAGCCAAAAACCCTAAGAAGGTAAAGGCAAAATTTTGCTTCCCCCTGCACCTGTTACTTAGGTCTTATCTAGAGTTCAACCTGAAAGGCATATTTTAGGAGGAATATTGGCCAAATTAGAAAACACCTCCAGGAGGACAACTAGAATATTGGGAGGTTCTGAACTTCACATAAGAAACCCGGGGACAGTAAGTCTGGAGAAAAGCAATGGGAGACAGCAAAACTACCTTCATAGATTCGATGGGTCATTCATCAATAAAGCTATTCCGTTTTACTGAGCACTTCCTCTATGCAAGGTACCATGAAAGGCAACGAAGATACAGCACTGAGAAAGAAAGCCGGTCTTTTCTTAACATGCGGAAGGGAAAATGGATTTTCTCTGTGTCACTTCACAAGACATTGTACAGTAGAGCAGAGCACAGATTCTGGAATCAGAGCACTAGAGTCAAAACCTGTACTGAGTTCAGAGCTACTCCCCACCCCTCCAATACGTCTGCATCAAATCCCTGAAGCCTGCAAATATTACTTTATTAGAAAAAAAAAAAAAAGTCTTTGCAAATTAAGTTAGGAATTTTGAGATGAAATCATACTGGATTGTCTGGGTGAGCTCTAAATATAGTGATCAGTGTCCTTACAAAAGAAAGGCAGATGGAGATTTGAGAGAGACAGGAGAAGAAGAATATATAGAAGGCCAAATGAAGCAAACAGTTATGCGGCTGTAAGCCAAAGACTGCTTGGAGCCACCAGAAGCTGGAAGAGGCAAGGAAACATTCTCCCCTAGAGCCTGTTGAGGGAGCATGGCCCTGCCAACACCTTGATTTTGAACTTCTGGCCTCCAATAATGTGAGGGAAGAAATTTCTGTTGTTTTAAGCCACCAAATTTGTAGCAATTGGCTGCAGCAGCTCTAAGAAACTAATATAATGCCCCGTTACTTAGCTAGCTGTAGTACCTTACTAGCTGTGTTACCCAGTGCTAGTAACTCTAGCCCTCTGAGAACCAGGCCCTCGTTAGGAAACTGGAGACAATAGAAATACTCACCTCACAGGTCAGAGGTTAAGGAGGTATGTCAAGTGTGCAGCACAGGGTCTGGAACAAAGTAAGTTCTCAGTACATAATACTGTTATTATTAATGGGTTCAGATTTACTGGGAAGCATGTGTAGACCTTAGAACAATGTATCAGCAGGTGGAATAACAGCTAATTTATGCAGTAGGGATCTCTCTGCTGTTAAATATATAAGTAGAAACCAGATCAATCATTTTCCAGAAATACTAAAGAAGAGACGTTTATATTGTTCAGAAAGCTGGAATAAACATCCGCTAGCCTTCCTTCTAGATCAACCCAGTACTCATTTCTTTTTGGTGCACTGGGTCAAGATCCTAAGGCAGGGGAACCCAGGAAGGGAAGTGAGGTATGCACAGGGTTTGGCTACCACCTTGAAGAGGCCCTTCCCCTCGCTGTACCCTGTTGTCTTCAGCTATAAAATAAGCATGTTCTGATCATGTCTTAGTACTTCCAACTTGAAAATGCTGAGACACAATGAGAAAGACTTGGATCACTGAGATAGTTTGGGTATTTGTCCCCCCAAATCTCATGCTGAATTGTAAACCCCAGGCTTAAGAGGTGGAGCCTAGTGAGCGGTT